TTAAACATAAAAATAAAGGCCCTGCCGAAAGGATCCCGACTCAACCTCCAGGTAAGGATTCTTTTACTCTTATTATTATGTTATCATTTTAGATGTATTTGTCAATCAGCATGGCACACCCGCCTCAAAGTTCTGAGGTTGAGGGTTCGAATCCAGGCTCTGGCCTTTCTTTGTGAATTTTGCTTGTTCTCCCCATGCAGCTTCCACCCAGTTCCCCAAAAAAGTGAGAACAATCGGTGCAACGGCATTTTAATTATTATTATTATGATTTTTTTTTTCTTTTTTATCAATGAGTTGACAATGTGTTACCAAAGTGTGTTTATAGCTTGTGGGAGAAGTAGTTTAAGGTGCTCCATCAATTTTATTTTATTTTATTTTATCCATCACATTTATCCTTTATCCTCACAAGGGTTGCGGGGGGCTGCTGGAGCCTATACCAGCCATCTTCGGGCAGTAGGCGGGGGACACCCTGAACCGGTTGCCTGCCAATCTGTGGGAGGAAACCGGAGTACCCGGATAAAACCCACGCAGGCCCGGGGACAACATGCAAACTCCACACAGGGAGGCCGCAGCTGGAATCGAACCCGGTACCTCTGCACTGTGAGCTCGACGCGCTAACCATTGGACCACTGAGCCACCCTATTTATTTTATTTTTTTAATAGGAGCCATCATAGATTGACAATCTATGACATGTAATGGACAAGGGGATCACTGTAAATATCTTATAGCACACCGTTTCCTTCCCAGGTGGTGTGCAGGAAACAACCCCAGACCCCAACCTCAAAAGGATCCTCCCAGCAGGATAGCACATCAGGAGGCGGGAGTCAAGACGGTAAGGCCGTCTCAAATATCCGCCCACCTTCCGCCAAGCGAGCCTCACCGCTTCCGCCGCCGTTCACCAAGGCAAGACCAAGAGCCGCCTCCTGTACTACGTCAACCTGCTGCTGGTCGACCACCGCTCGCTGCTGCGCCAGGGCGAGTTCGTCCTGCACATGTGGAAAATGCCCGAGAAGAGCGAGGAGAGCAGCAGCAGCAGCATCAACGCCGACAAGCTGACGTCGGCCACCAACCCGGACAAGGATTCGTCTATGGCCATCGCCATCTTACTGGATAAGTACCGCTACCCCGTGGTGCTTCCCAAGAGCCGCGATCCGAGTCGAGACGGCGCTCTCGCGGCGGAGGAGCCCGACGGAACCGAGCGAGGTCAAAGGGAGATGCCGAACCACCTGAAGAAACAGTTTGCCACCATCGTGGCGACTGACCCCCTTCATCCATTGAGTCCCGAGGACAAAGAGCTGCTGTGGCATTTCCGACACGAGTGTATGCGTGACCCCAGGTACTTGGGTTGTCGTCGCTTGCTCGAATTTTGCTCCCCGAGCAATCAAACCTTACAAGGTCTCCCTGTCAGGGCCTATCCAAAGCTGCTGTCATCAGTCAGTTGGGGAAAACAGGAAGCCGTCCTGGCAATCCACCGGCTGTTGGAGCGCTGCACCGCATGGGACAGCAGGTGATCACGATCGGACCGTTAGCGATTGGCAAACGTTTTCGGGTTTCTCATTCTTACGATCCCGTCAGTGTTTTGGACGTCGGCTTGGCCATGCAGCTGCTCGACTGCCACTACTCCGACGCTCAAGTCCGCTCCATGGCCGTGCGGAAGTTGGAGACGCTGGAGGATGACGACGTGCTGCGATACCTTCTGCAGCTTGTCCAGGTCTGGTGCACACAAAGCACACAAAGTGATAATATCGCAGCAACAGAGAAGGGCCTCTTTTCATCTGGCTTTCAAAAACGCATGTGATTTTTGTCATTTGTAAACAGGGTAAGTCATGACACAGTGACAAAACCTTCTTTGTTTTTTGTGTACGCAGGCGGTCAAGTTTGAGCCGTACCACGACGGCGCACTTGTCAGGTTCCTGCTCAAGAGAGCGCTGAGGGTAAGCGGGATGAAAAACCGCATCACATAATTGTTGTCAGTGTCGGTATCAGTCAGTATATGTGCAGGTAAAAAAAAAAAAAAAAATTCTGTGTCTCTATTTTTACATTTCAGAGTAAGCGTATCGGCCATTTCCTCTTCTGGTTCCTCCGCAGTGAAATCGCCCAGTCCAAGCATTACCAGCAGCGCTTTGCGGTCCTGCTGGAGGCCTACCTGCGAGGCTGCGGCGAGGCCATGCTGCAGGATTTCGGGAAACAGGTGAGCGAGGATTTTTTTAACCCTTTCAGGGACAACGGTTCCTACGATGGACAGCGTGAAAGGGGTTAAGGAGGGGTGTCACGAATTAATACCGCCATCTGCTTGATCGCAGGTGGAGGTGACTGAAGCTCTGCAGAAAGTCACCCGAGAGATCAAAACCATGTCCCCAGACAAATATGACGTCACGGCACAAGGTGAACATTACTTTAAAAAATATATTACTTACCGAGAGTTACAGTGACGAATTTCACAATAAAGTTTCCACGTCCCCCATTTTGTCATGTCACCGTCATATTCCAAAATAAACGATCCCGCAGGAGTCAGTGAGCGATTCAAGTGCCGTAAACTAAAGTTGGACACGTGTGCTTTTCAGTGGTGTGTCAGATGCGTCAGAAGCTGGAGACGCTCCAGTTATCTGGTCTTCCACAGGGTTTCAGGGTGCCTTATGATCCCGGATTAAGAGCTGGAGCCCTGCTGGTAATGGAAACGCGCACCGTCGAGACTCTGATGCGATTCCTTACTGAATGTTTATTTTTTTTCTCGGGGGGCGGGCTCAGATCGAGCAGTGCAAAGTGATGGCATCCAAGAAGAAGCCGCTGTGGCTGCAGTTTAAAAGGGCCGACCCCACCACCCTGTCCAAGGACCCCATAGGGATCATCTTCAAGCACGGTGACGACCTCAGACAGGACATGCTCATCCTGCAGGTAGCGGACTGTCTCATCTCTTCCTCACTCTTCGTTTCTTTGACTGTCAAGTTTTCTTCTGCATTTTTTTTTTGTGGTTCTTATTTCCTGATTTTTTTTTTTTTTTTTTTTTTTTTTTTGTGGTTCTTGTTTCCTGACAGATTCTGCTGATCATGCAGTCCATCTGGGAGACTGAATCTCTGGATCTGTGCCTGTTGCCTTACGGCTGCATCTCCACCGGGAACAGGATAGGTCGGTCACTCCACCCCCCTCACCCCCCACCTCATTCCATATTTCATCCCCCAAATTGTCTTTCAGGTATGATAGAGATCGTGAAGGACGCCACCACCATCGCTAACATCCAGCAAAGTGTCGTCGGCAGCACCGGAGCCTTCAAAGACGAAATCCTGCATCAGTGGCTGCGGGACAAGTGTGTAGGCGAAGACAAGGTATGAAATGATTTGAAAACCGAGATTGTAACGGGGGGGGACTAACATATATATTTTTAAGGGCCATATCGGCAAGCCCCTGTTTTGAAGTGTTATTTGTTTTCCTCTCAGTGTTAAAAGGAAGTAGCAAAAAAAACGGCAGACAGGAAAAAGGACGTGAGCTTCAGTGGTTTCCTGTCGCACAACACACATAAGCTACTTTTAGAGTTTTCATATGCTCCCATTGTGTCACTTACATTTCACCTCAACTTTATTTAGCAACACCATTTTGGACCAACTGGAGATGCTTCATGGAGTTGACTCAAAAATCAAGTACATTGCAGTACCCCGGCTGAGATGTGACAAAGGCGTGGATTACGGTTTTGGTGTGCTGATCAAGTACATTGCAGTACCCCGGCTGAGATGTGACTGAGGTGTGCTGTTGAGAAAGGGCGGGGCCTTAGCCAGTTGCCTAATCTGAAAAAAAAATGGATTCAACAGCAGCACCCCAAAAAACAAACAAACAAACAACAACAAAAATCCACATTTGCGATGTGGCGGGGCCTTAGCCAGTTGCCTAATCTGAAAAAAAGATGGATTCAACAGCCCCAAAAAACAAACAAACAACAAAAACAAAAATCCACATTTGCGATGTGGCCGCATGAACTAGAATTCTGATTTCAAATGATAATGTGCTGGTGAATTTCTTAGCCCCAATTAGTCGAGGAAATGGTTTCATCGCACGTGACAAAGTTGTTGTTTTTTTTTTTCAGTTTCAGCAGGCCGTGGAGAGGTTTTTGTATTCCTGTGGCGGTTACTGCGTGGCTACCTACGTCCTGGGCATCGGCGATCGCCACAACGACAACATCATGATCACCGAATCGGGTAACCACGCTCATCTTTCGCTTTCAACGCGTACGTGGTCAAGGAACATTTTTTTTTTTTGCGCTGGCTCTTCAGGGAATCTCTTCCACATCGACTTTGGCCACATCTTGGGGAACTACAAGAGCTTCATGGGAATCAGTAAGGAATGGGTTCCCTTTGTGCTCACGCCGGACTTCCTGTATGTTATGGGAACGTCAGGAAAGAAAAGCAGCCCCCACTTCCAGAAATTCCAGGTGCTTAACCCTTTCATGCACCCTTTAACCTGATAACATGATCAGCTGTCCATTGTCGTAACCGCTGTCCCCCCCCGCCCCCGAAAGGGTTAAACCAGAATGAATTTCTCATATGACGCCTAAATGTGCACTTACTACACACTCCTTTGTGTCAGGATGTGTGCGTCAAAGCGTACCTCGCTCTTCGACACCACACCAACCTCCTCATCATCCTCTTCTCCATGATGCTGATGACGGGTATGACGTCCTTGCATGCAGTGCACGAGAGTAAACCTCGCACGTTCAATGGTCAAAAACACACAGTAGTGACATCATGACATAGGATGGAAAGAATAATATATTTTGCATCATGATTTCATGCTTTAATTAATTCAATAGGCATCCTTCTGGTGTGTGCATCTTGGCCACCAGAGGGCAGTATAATACTGACATACATACAATGCACTCAGATTTGATGGCGCAACATGAAGACCAACTCGACTGGAGTAAAAACAGTTGTTTTGCAGAGGATGAAGAAAATATGCCAGTGAATATTGTTTTATTTTTCAAATATAAGTTGTTCAAATGTACCGTCATACTGGCGCTAGTTTTCTTCTCCCGTTTTCAGTGTTTCAACAACAAATTCACCATTTATTTTTTGGGGTTGTTTTTAATGGTGTTGTTCTAAAATGAGTTTGACATTATATGAAAAGTTTTGATTCCAATCGGATGAAAATCTAGGCCATTCGAAACAGCAAGTAATGAACTAATGAATGACATGATCATGTTATATTTGCGATATTTAAACACTATTTCGTGGCTCATCCTAGGCATGCCCCAGCTGACCAGCAAGGAGGACATCGAGTACATCCGCGAGGCGCTCACCGTCGGCCGCTGCGAGGACGAGGCGCAGCGCCACCTCCTGGATCAAATCGAGATTTGCCGGGAGAAAGGCTGGATGGTGCAGATAAACTGGTTTGTTCACCTGGTGCTGGGCATCAAGCAGGGGGTGGAGAAACGCTCCACATGAGCGTCACATGAGGACAAAATAGGAAGGACCCGTGAAAAATATAAAATGCGACTTGGATTTTTATATGACAGTTACAACAATGTTGACATACTAAACTACATGTGCTTCTTTTATCCAGCGGTTCCATTTCATCACCACTCATAGACCAAGTCAAAAGGCAAAGGTTTTACATCCCTATCACAGTTTCAGTACGATTTTCCCACTTTGAGTCTTAACCCTTTCAGGGACAGCGGTTACCACAGTGGACAGCTTCTCATGATGCGGATGGATTTGATTTTTTTTTTTTTTTTTTTTTTAACGTATCTACCTGTCTGTTGCATAAATCTCCGCGATATTGCTGTTTATAGTGGTTTCATTTTCGAGGATTTTTACAGCTTTGTGCAGGAACTTTCATTTCCATTCCCCCAACAACCAGTTATTGAAGTCCATACCTTAGACATTACTGCCATCTAGTGGTGTTTACGTTACACAGCACTTGTTACAGGACAGTATTATTATTATTATTATTATTATTATTATTATTTTAATTTTTTTGTTCAAATGTTTAGAATGTATTTGAAAAAGTATGCTTCAGTAAGTTTACTAATGTTTTTTTAATTTTTTTTATTTTAAAAATTTTTATTTTATTTTATTTTTTTATGTCTCTCTCAGGGACATGCACTCAGTGAGGTGGAGCCTCACTGACACCATGATGTCATTTTAATTTCAACTTTACTTCTTTGGCCCGCACTTTACATTGACTTTCAAGTTGATTTGATTTCATCGCCTAAATTCCCGACCACAAAAAGGGACACACCGTGGCATGTGAGGACTGTCGCTCATCCTCTTTGTCTTCCCCTCATCTTCTCTCCTTCCTCCCATCTTAATCATTGACATTACTGGAGATGAGTGGGTGCAGGTGGACAAGATGACACCCTTTCTTCTTGTTTTCTTCGCTCTGCGGCTTTGAACTGCAAATGGATTTGTCAGAGCAAGAGGGGAAAAAAAAAAGAAAAGCCCCCTCGTTCCACAGCTCTTTATGGCTCCTTAAAGCTTTTTAGCACGCCTTTGTGAATCTTGTGGAGGCTGAAGCGATTCACTGAGCGCGCAAAAAATGTGAATGGAAATTGCACGGAAGAAAAAAGCTTTGTTGTTCTTCACTATTTGTGTTTGGAGAAACGTCATCTTTGATGCGCTTTTTAAGCCTTGCGGCGAAATCACAAATGACACAATTTCAAAGGCTCACCAGTCACAAGATTAGGTACATATCCGTTTAAAAAAAAAAATGTAAATATAAATTGGGATCGTCTGTTCAATCATCATTCTGCGTGACTTTTTTTTTTTTTTTTTGCGCCTGTGTCTGTGCAAGTAGTTGTTGTAAAAGCGCCCCCTCATATTGACTTGAGATATCGAAAACATTTGTCAAAGAGCCTTCACAAACACTGCATGTGCACATGCAACGCCTGCCAATTAAAATGCATAGATGTAAATGAACACATAACACTCTTGACTTTCAATGCGTATGATCACGACCCCGGGGGTGCGTGATGCACCTCTATTTCCGTTCAGCGCGCATTTTCTTTGAAGTCACGCCATGTTTGTGTGAAATTGACATGGCAGATGTGAGAGTATCCGCGTCTGTAGTTGTCATCACATGTCCAGTCGTATTTGCGATGGGTTATGGTAGCGTTGTGCTAATCTGAGATGATTTAGTTGTCACCGGTAACTACTTGGAGATCTTCCTTGGCTGCTGGCATTAAATTATCATTTTTATTTTATTTTTTTCCTATTTCTCAGTAGATCCTTTTCAAAAAAATGTCTCAAGGCCTCAGAATCCTATTTTCTCAATCAGCTTCCTTCATAAGCAACAGTCTTCTCTCATTCGATGAAAGTGAGAGATGTTAGTTTTGCTGAATATTTTGACAGAAAACAGGGGGCCGGGGCTTCCCTGCTGTATGTTGCCATGGTAACTGCCAGTCAAATCTAATTAAAAAACACCCACACACTTCTTATCTAGCCGATTGTGGCAAATGATTTTATTTATTTATTTTTGCAACCATGACTTGATCACGATACAAGCAAAACACGAGCGGAACATATTTTGGACAATAAGTTGCATACATTTTTTTTTTAAATTGGAAAAAATGTCTTGGACAGTATATGGAGAAAAATGCTCAAACTTGACCTTTTCAGAGATGCCCTAAATTACTACAATGTAGTTGTTCTTACTTAAAAATTTAACATCCTGGATATATATGAACCAGTTGTAATTGGATATCGAACATGAAGGAGGGCGTGCTGGTCATGGTGCTGCATCAGATACCCTTACTGACAGAATGTCAAGGTGCATGCGAGTGTACCCATGTGTACGATAGGTGGTCAAATAACGAGGTTGGGATGAAGTGGGAAGTAAATATCGATCGATATCAGAAGGTGATGTGAGTCACAATTTAAGAAATGGATGTCCTGCATTTGGTGTCCCCCAAGGTTCAATTCTTGATACTCTACTTTTTATATGTATCCCATTGGGATAAACCTCTCTTTCATTAAAACACAAATGATTAAAAATCTCTGTTTTTCTAAGCGACTGGAGAATTGTAATATCTATTTTAGTATTGCTCTCTTTACTAAAAATATCTGCCACACAATTTATAATGTTGCTGCATTACAGTAAAAAAAAAAATCTAAATCTCATGCACTTTCTCTTGACTGTATTTATTGTATACTATCTGTGATGTGATCTAACCTGTGCAACTTTGTTAGTGGCCTGTTTCAGCAGACATTTTGGCTGGGTATTGGACATTTTGAGGCTAGTAATCGGCAGGTAAGGTTATTAGCATTAAAACCTTTAGCAACATCATGTATTTTGCATCTTTATATATGTGGACTGTTGTTTAAATTTTTAAGTTTGCATGCGAACGTCATTTCCTCAATTGTAAGAAGCCCCCTCGGTGATTTTGCACATCAACAAACGGCCAAGTTAAATTAATGTACATTAGAGGGTCCAATAATCTTTTCGTGTCTCTGCATGGTTGTAATTCCAAACACTCAATCTGCCTGGCTGGTTGTCCCACGCCCCCTTCGTACCACCGTCCATCCACGACGCCAGTTGGAGTCTAATCCCGGCAGAGCTAATCTTCCTCTGATCTGAGGATTGCACAATTGAGTTGCTGGGTTTCCTCTCACCTGCTGGCCACCGCATGCCCGACTAACTGACTGGGTAGTCGGGCGCAGAGTGGACGGAAGATGGCTTCCCGCCGATCGCCATCCTCTACTTGGACAGGTGAGTGTAACAGCAACGCGTCGGCAACACATGGCTAAGCCACTGTTGAGAAATGTTTGCAGGCTGCGGGGTGAGGCAACCGCCACCGGGCAACTGTAATATGCAGATATGCGATTAGACTTCAGACTAATCTGTGTTTGTGTACTGTCAATCAGGCGAGGAAGGAGCTAAAGGTGAAAAACAATTGATCTTATTGGTTGACTAAGGATGAACTCGGGAACAAATGTCAGTCCTGGTTCAGTTTTTATTCAGTTTCTAATTGTCAGACTTCAATAATGTGTAATTTTTTTGTCAAGCAGGCCATTCTTTTTTCACATTCACAGTTTTAATAACTTCTTTTAATGGGGGGAAAAAAACCCACATGTCTCGATGTTGCTTACTGCCAGTGTTTTATCACTTGTACAGGAGACTGATTTTGGTAAGTTTGGGAACAATCATTTTAGCTCGGCTAATGCTAAACTACGATCTTTGAAAATGAAAGAACGGCGAGGCTTACGAAAGACTTTTGTTATGTTAAAGCTGGAAAAGTCACCTGTCTTTAGTGATGGATTTCGAAAAAAAACTACATTTAAAGGCCCTCTTAACACCAAATAAAGCTCCACTGTTCTAGTAGGCTTTTTTGGGGCAGGGATGGGCCAAACTCAGTTCCTTGAGCGTCGCTATCCTAAATGTTTTAGATGTTTCCCTCCTCCAACACACCCGATTCAAATGATTAGCTCATCAGTAAGATCTGCGGGAAGTGTGTTGGAAGACTCCCAAACAAATTTTCTTGAAGCAAATCCAGACTACCACTCGCTGAATTATACGTTCGCATATGTTGTTTCACGGCGCAATAAAAAAATAAAATAAATAAAAAAAATTCCAATCCAATCGAGATTAATGCATCGCCAACCCTGGAATCATCGAATGCGATTACATAAAAGCATAAGCATTGGCTCATGCTCTTCTTTGCGTAAATATCGCTCTTGACACATATCTCGTGTCATCAACATATGCACGAGGGATTTTCTCTCAGCCTGCCCTGCGGTGTTTCAAACTGGCGACCCTCCAGTTGCAAGACCTCCTTCTACAGCGTCACCCGGGGCAGGCGACCGCAGCCAAATGAGCCAAGCACGACTCGCTGCCATGAAATGAAACGACAAAAGAAAGTCATCTTGACCTCTTCATTAGCATGTCGTTTGTACAGTGAGCTGCAGAACGAAAGGCTCCGAGAGCGAGCTGTCCGCGGGTGCTGGATTGAGTGCGCAGTCAGAAGCCTGTTTTTGTTTCTATGGCTACAGATGTCTGCATCCCTAAATAACCACCCGTCGTAACCTTCTGATTAAAAGAAAGCCCGCAGCCGTCTTGACTAAAAGGCAGTTCGATATACAGTATATGAAAGTGAACAAGTCTTTCTTAGCTCTGAAAAGCGCCGTTGGCTTAGCGCCAACGAGGTGTCATAAATAAAACTACTCACCAGAGTCATAGAAATAAATCCGCCATTTAGATTTTAACCCTTTCATGCACCTTGTAACCTGATAACATGACACCAGCCGCCATTTAAAGTGCCACCGATTCACCCTGAAATGAAGCTCAATTGTTCTCGTAGGCTTTTCCTGACTTTTTTTTTTTTTTTTAAACAGCTTTTTCAACTCTTAATGTGACCCATAACCCGGACAGCTCATTTGATAAAACAATCGAACCCTTTTGTGAGGACAAGAGATATGTTGCACAAGTGTGCACACCCTCTCATAACTGGACATGTGTTCAGAATGAATCGTTTGCAAACTCATTCAATGGGACTCGGCACACGCCTGCCGTCATTTTGCGTCTCTGTCAAACATCAATTCATGTTGTTCTGGTAGGCTTTTAGCGACATTTTTTAAATATATTTACAGATTTACATTTTTATTACCTTTCCCAATTATGATTTTTTTGTTGTTGTTTTTGTTGTTTTTTTTATACATGTTTGTAGGTCACATCGATGGTGGAGGAAGTTATGCCGTTTTTTACTCACCAGAGTCATAGAAATAAATCCGCCATTTAGATTTTAACCCTTTCATGCACCTTGTAACCTGATAACATGACACCAGCCGCCATTTAAAGTGCCACCGATTCACCCTGAAATGAAGCTCAATTGTTCTCGTAGGCTTTTCCTGACTTTTTTTTTTTTTTTTAAACAGCTTTTTCAACTCTTAATGTGACCCATAACCCGGACAGCTCATTTGATAAAACAATCGAACCCTTTTGTGAGGACAAGAGATATGTTGCACAAGTGTGCACACCCTCTCATAACTGGACATGTGTTCAGAATAAATCGTTTGCAAACTCATTCAATGGGACTCGGCACACGCCTGCCGTCATTTTGCGTCTCTGTCAAACCTTAATTCATGTTGTTCTGGTAGGCTTTTAGTGACATTTTTTAAAGAATATATTTACAGTTGCTCATTTTTATTACCTTTCCCAAATATGATTTTTTTTGTTGTTGTTTTTGTTGTTTTTTTTATTTTTATACATGTTTGTAGGTCATATCGATGGTAGAGGAAGTTATGCCGTTTTTAAATTTTTTTTTATTTTTTATTTTTATTTTTTCACAAAAACATGGCATTTGAAAAATGAAAAATGTGATATTTTTTAAATGTGCCTTTTGTATGTATTTCAAACACGAATGTGGTTATTTGGTATTTCCAGTATGAAAAGGGATGTTGGACAAGAACAATTCGTGAGATGATAGTGTACATTTGAATCAATACAGGTGAATCATCCCAAGATGTTCCACTTTCAGTTCAGTCTTTTGTCCCTAGTGGCAAGTATTTTCAGAGTAAACTGTACATAATGCACATAGAACCTGAGAACAGTACGATAGTTATGCAGTATGTTTTTGCAAGCTGTTAAAATAAAATAAAAAGAAAAACTAATATTTTCTTCACTTCCTTGATAACCAATGTGTCACAGAGCCACGAGGGAACGGACGAGGCTCCGTCCCAGTGGCCACGGCTCTCAGCGAGTCCTCGTCCATCCACAGCGACGCACTGTACCACCTGACCAGGGACGTGTCGCGGGTGGGCCTGGAACCTCTGTCCAACAGCATACTGGAAGCAGAACCTGACAAAGAGGATGCTTGGGATGAGGAGGCTCAAAGTCTACTTAAGGTCAGTTAGTCAACCAATGATTGACGGTCTATTCAGTCAGGAGAGGAAGCGGGTAGGAGACAGGAGAAGGGGCAGTAAAACAGGCCAAAGTCCAGATGTTTTGAGGGTGAGGCATTGCGTGTTTAGGTTGCGGCTGAGCTGAAGTGAATAATCAGATGAATTTGGGCAAGAGGCAGGCTAAGCTCTGGACTGGTCACTCGCTCATCAGAACTTGCCTATTTTAAAATTGCCCCAAGCTGCTGCTCAACATGGTGACAAAGCACTTTTTGTTGAGACAATGTTACAGCCTGATGAAATGAGTTCCTCCTTTCACTTCATCATATCTCCATGGTGCCAGAAGATGGCGTCAAAGCGCTTTCTTATATTTAACAAGGCTCTGGCCTGACTAAATGAAGCTCCTCCTTTCACTTCAACATAGTTCCTTGGCACCAGAATGCCAGAAGATTCTTGTAATGTTTTTTTTTTTTTTGTTGTTGTTGTTATAATCATTTTTATTCTCTGCTCCCATAATCTCCTCAAACAGAGGATTGCGTCATATTTGGGTCAAACCATTTATTTATCATGAGAAAATAATCCAATGCAAGAACTGCATAAACAGTTCTGCCTTTAAAGAGAGGTGTTAATTTAACACGTGTATATGTATCTCTGTATTGTGTTCCAAAAAATTTCGGTTGCCTCATTTCGGTCCAAAACGTAAATATCTAGTATGCAGGAAGCTGCAGTGCACCACAGCCACAATAATAGAAGTTATTGTTGCGACAGCTCTTGTATTGGCTTTTGCGGATGTACCTAATGAAGTGGCCAGTAAGTGCACACACTTTACAGATGGCCTCCCCCCCCCCCACCCTCTTCTTTTAAACAACGTGTCGCGCGCACCATGCCAAACTCGCCGGCGGTGCGCACGCATCCCGCGCACACACACACACACTCGCACACACTCGCATACTCACTCAGACACTCACAGCGTGAAAGCTAGATGGATGCCTCCTCTCGCCTGTGGATCATGCTGCCGCTACGCGCTTCCCTTCAGATCCGAGCCGAACCCCGTTTAGGATCCGCGCCATGAAACCTGTTAAAACGCCACGGTGGATTACCGGACTGACCTGTAGTGTCGTTTTTTTGGGAGGGATGGAAGAGGTGGCGGCGGGGATGAATTCGGCTGCCTTTCTGCCAACTTTTACTCATCGTCTCCCTCAACTTGTCTGATTCTGTTTGAAGTGTCACAGCATGCAGACTGATGACAAGATCCCAGTGAGTACAACAGCTTGTTCTTTTAGTTCCAGAACTGCTCCCACGCCTGTAATGATTAACTAGTATGGTGTGTGTACTAGTAACCTGCTTTTCACTAGCAAATATCATTGCAAACATTGCTTCTCACCCATATCGGACCTGTTGGCATGATCAACATATAAACTGGTTCCTTGAAATATGGATGATTTTTACAATATGATTTTTAAAATCTTTTTTGCACAATTGTTTCCCCCCCCTCCAAAAAAAAAAAAACCTGCACAAAAAATGGCAGATTTTTGTAGATTATTATTTTTTCTCTCTTTTGTAAAGGTAAACAAATTGTAATTACAAATTGTAACCGGCTAGCATTAACCGGCTATCGCAATGTTATTCTTCCAAAAAAAAAAAAAAAAAAAAAAAAACATTGTCAGGCCCTAACACTCAGAGGCATATATTCTTTATCCTCTGTGAAAAACGACAAATATTACTGTACAACACTGAGTGGGAGAACCCATTGTGAACACCCGTATCTGACAAACACCCTTCCAATGAACGTCTAATTTTTGCAAAAAAATCCTTATTTCAATTTGTTTCCTTCTTTATGTGCCTTTGCACACACACACACACACACACACACACACACACACTGCATATCTCTACAGGTTTTTCCCCCCATCCAAGAAGGCAGAAAGGATTATTTGTAATGGTTTTCGAATGTTGCAGTTCATCCAGAAGGGGACCCATCCACAGCACGTGACCGCGTTTGGATGGTATCCAAGGGAAACACCGGAGTCTGTGTACTAAACAATCCCGAAAAAGGCTCCCCCATTCGTTGGGCTCCTAACTGACGTTTAAAAAAAAAAAAAAGGCCACACAGAGAGAGAATGTGCATACCTCACTCATACTTTGGAGCAGCTGCATTGTGCAGGGGGAGTCTTTGTGCTCTTGTGTTGCTCTCTTTTTATTGTCTTTCGGCTTCTCACTCTGCCTGTCAATGCGTCCCCGTTGGCCGCAGTTGTTTGTTTTTACTCTTCTGACCAACTGGCGACTAAATACAGGCAAACGTGCGCTTGCTTTCGACATAAAGCTTTGCTTTATTTCTCATCGGAATCGGTGCGATCAAATTGAGGCGATTCAATTGGGGTTCCCAGGTTTGTAGTTGGAATACAAAAAAAAAAAGTAAAACGAAATTTACTACTAATAACAGTCTTTTTGTTTTGTTTTGTTTTTTTTAGACGGAATCCTGCTAAATTCTCCATGACAACAGGAGAAATGCAAAAAAGCTGGCCTCCATTTTTTTTCTCTCTCTCTCTACAATAGAACTGAAATCAGCACTAAAACTCCCATCATGCCCCGGGGCCTTTCGAGCCTTCCCTCTTGTGTCCTCAATGTTCCGTCTCCTTCCACTTCCAAACAATCTGTCTAAATAAAGAATCCAAGTGGCAAAGGTGATGATGCGACTGCCCACTCTGCCGCGAAAAGGTTCTCACTTCAGTGTTTTTTGAGAACCTGCCAATAGCCACTCTGCGTGCGTGTGTGTGTGTGTGTGTGTGCCGACGTAGCCGTCCGTGCTCAAGTTCATTCAAGCGCTTACGTAAGCTTTGCTTTTAATTTTCGGTGCTAAACCGGCTGTTGTAAATTTACAACTATTGATGCAATTATTTTTTTCCCCACTTCTGAGTGTCTGGTATACTGCGCATATCCAAATTTTGACAACAGTGTCTTTATGCTTCTCTTCTCCAGGTTGTCAGTTCTTCATCAAGCCCCCAAGACAACGGCGAGGGCCTCCACTTCTCGGACGGCCGGCGGAAAGTCGACTACGTGCTGGTCTTCCACCAGCGAAGACACGCCTCCGTTCGTTCCCCTGCCAGCACGTCGGTTTCCCACGACCGACTGTCCATCGTTTCCAACGGCAACTTCCCGCCGTCGCGTGGCTCGGACGGCAAAGGCGGAGGAGGAGGGGGGAGTGGCGGAGTACCGGGAGGGGAGGCTGTGAGCATCGGCGAGGTGTTCATGGAGCTGGACAGCGGAGGAGGGAACGAAGCGGCCGAACCCGCCGACCACGAGATACATCTGATCAGACAAGAGTTCGAGGCCAACCTGCTGGAGGCCGGCTTGGAGATCGAAAGAGATCGAGAGGTGAGTGCGATGTGGCAGTCAAAGCCACATCGCTGCGTGGTTTTTTTCCGGGTGCTCGGGTTTCCTCCCACATTCCAAAAAAACATGCATGGCAGGTTGATTGAACACTCTAAATTGTCCGCGGTTGGGTGTTCGTCTCTGTGTGCCCTGCGATTGGCTGGCAGCCGGTTCAGGGTGTCCCCCGCCTACTGCCCGAAGACAGCTGGGATAGGCTCCAGCAGCCCCCCCCGCGACCCTTGTGAGGATAATCGGATCGGAAAATGAAGGAATGAATGAATGTGTGTTACCCATACATTTTCAAACAATCGTGAAAAATCAAAATTCCTCTCCGGGCTGGGAAAACTGATTGGATTGCATGAGAGCGCGAGGATGAGGGGGTGGCTACTACTAATAGTAGTCGTATGATATGCAAGAGTAAGCTCTCGAAATGATGACTGCAGCTTAGGAAGGAGAGGCATAT